AATTTTCCCCCCATTGCTCAGAACCACCAGAGGTTTGACACACTTGGAGAGCTTCCCATTCTAGTCCCTGAAGTTCTCTGGCTTCTCATAAATTGGCTTTTGGTCTTTTCTTCAGAGCTACCACACCTTGACATCCCATAAACGCAATGTTCTGTGAACCCCTGGTACGAAGTCCCCGCAGCCACACTTACCTGTAAAAATCTATCCATAATGGCGACGCACATGTAGAGGGTCTCCTGCAGCAGCCTAAACTTGGAATGGACCTGTACCAGCCAATCCACCAGGATGGCACGCATGCGTCCATTTATATCTCTTCCATCTAAGAAATGTGGACTTATGGTTTGCAGAACCTGTTGGGAGAATTAAAAGTTTAAAGAGCTGAACTCATTTCCTTCCCAGCTGTGTGGTACATTCAACACTGTTTACACAACCAAAACACAAAGGACCACTCACCTCAAGCTGTCTGAGATACTGATAGATATCCTTAACGTAGTCGCTGCAGAGCTGAGGGTTCTCCCAATCTTCATTATCAATATCTTCAATCTTGCAGAGCAAAGCATCAGAGAAAGCTTGACAGAGGTTCTCTTCCTTCATGGAGATATCCTCAGGTGCAGGATAAGGCTCCTACATTGGCAAATTAAAGTGCATGTATTACCACTTTAGGAGCAGCCTTCATCAAATACATGCAGAGCTAATTGGTTTAAAAGTATCATATAACCCTGGCCAGGTAAATTAGTTGGTTAGAGCATTGTCCCAATACGCCAACATTGCAACTTCTATCCCCAGTCAGGTAACATACAAGGAGCAACCAATGAATGCATAAATAAGTGGAACAACAAATCGATGTTTCACTCTGTCTCTGTCACGTATCTCTAAAGTCAAGCAATCCTATCTAATAATAGACAAAGATTGAAATTAACCATACCTCCGCTACACTTCCCATTGGCTAATCAGCAAGATATGCAAATTAACGGCCAACAAAGATGGCGGCTGGCAGCCATGCAGCTGAAGCAAGCAGGAGGCTTGCTTGCTCCAGTGATGGAGGAAGCCATGCTTCCTCCCTGCTGTGGCCAGGCTCTGAGCTCCACTCTAAGCAACAACGTTGCAATTATAGAAGCTAAACAAACCCCAGATACCTGCTTTCAGCAGGTCGTGGCCTCGGAGCTGGAGCGGCAACAAAGTTTCAATTATAGAAGGTAAATAAATCCCAGAATTTAAAAAAAAAAAAAGAGAGGCTGGGAGCTTCAGTTGCTGGCGGGCTCGACCAGCCTGAAAACCCTCAGCCCTTCATCCAGGCTGGCCAGGCACCCCAGTGGGGACCCCCACCTTGAAGGGGGTGCGGGCAGCCTGAAAAAAGCCATCAGCCCCTCATCCAGGCTGGCAAGGCACCCCAGTGGGGACCCCCACCCTGAAGGGGGTGCAGGCAGCCTGAAAACAGCAATCTAAGGATGTCCGACTGCAGCTTAGGCCTGCTCCCCGCTGGCAAGTAGACATGCCCCAAGGGCTGCCGGGCTGCCAGAGGGATGTCTGATTGCCATCTTAGGCCCAATCCCCCGGGGAGCAGGCCTAAGCCAGCAGGTGGTCATCCCATGAGGGGTCTCAGACTGCGAGAGGGCACAGACTGGCCTGGCGGAGACCCCCCCCCCCCCCCGAGTGCACAAATTTTTGTGCACCGGGCCTCTAGTCAATCAATAAAATGTTAAAGCCAAAACAACAGATTTCAGGTGAATAACTCATGATGTAGTAGATGAAGTCTTTAGAGATATACTCCCCTTTAAAATTCTCTAATTTACTCAAAGTGAAACCCTAAGTCTTCACAATGGCTTACAGGCTCTGCAGGACCTGATCTTCCTGTTCCCTGCTGACCAGTCTCCTGCTCTTCTCCCTTGGTTTGCTTCACTCCAACCTACTAGCCTCCCCCGCTGCAAACAGGCTCCCACATCCCAGAATGCGCTTGTTCCTGTATTCGATGGGTAACTCCCTCAACTTCTTCAAGTTTTGTTTAAATGCTACCTTCTCATTGAGGTCTCTCCTGACTTCTACTTAAAATGGTCATCTGCTTCTTATTCCCACCACATGTGTTTCATTTCTCTTAGTGTGTTTTTCCCATATAACCTATAACCGCCTAATATGTTACAGGGTTTACGTATGTATGGTATGTATTATTTTCTTTCTACCTCTCCTGGAATGTGAGCTCTATAACCCTACATTTATTTAAATTGATTTGTTCACTAGGTATCTCAAATACTTATGTCATCCCTAACATAGAGTATGTGCTTGATGACTATTTATTGAAAGAAGCTTAGACACCTGGGTTCAGAGATTCCTCCAGCTGACAGTTCACTTTAGCAGTAGCCTCTTCTGCCAGTGTAATGCTTTCTTCTCGCCAATTAATTTATTCTAAACTGAGAAAATGTTTGGAAACTAAAAAGCAGAAAAGCACATTCCAGCCTATGAATAAAATAGGAGGAGGAAACAAAGACCAAGCAAGTATACACCCACTAATTATTTTCTTATATTGATGGGGTGTTTTTTTTTCAAATCACACATTAAAAATATATTAAGTTAAAGCAAGTGTTTAGTAATGAAGTATAAATAAATCATTACCTTTTAGAAGAATGAGAGGTACTTCTCAAAGTAAAACCTAACAGAATTGGTAGGCTGTAAAGAATACGTATTAAAGTAATAAATATAGAAAGAGAATGCTATATAATAAACAATTTTGATTTACATTAAACTCAATGATTATAGTTTCCAATCTTAGAAAAGAATAAAACATTACCAACAAGATATACATAGCAATTCGAAACAGGCCCTTCCCTCTTAAATCAAAGTTATTAAACCAAGAAAGGGCCAGGAGACTAAAAGGTATTCTGGTAGGCATGACATTTATTCAAGAATATAAGAATTCCAAGGGGCTAGAATAAATAAGAAATGCTACTTGGGGTACCAGGGAGAAACCTAGGGACAGTGACCAGAGAGGGGAAGACCTTCAGGAAAATGAGTAGGGAAAAGGTACACCAGTACAAAGTTCCAGCAGAAGCCAAGAGATAAAGGCAAGTGTGGGGACTACACACTGATTTGGGATGGTGGGAGGTAGCACGTGAGGTATGCAAAGATGTGCTGGAAAGGTGAGCAAGAATCTAACTAAGGAGTTTATCCTAAGGCAACTGAACTCACTGAAGGAACTGAGCAAGAGTGACTGGAATAGAATGCACATTTTAATAAGCACATGCAGCTTCAGTGTAAGGTCACCTTTTTCAAGGATAAGCATTTTCACTCTCCCCAGGGAGGGCAGTCAGTTCCAGGAAGCTGGTTTAAGGAAGCAGAGATTACAATGGGGCCTTGACTTTGAGACCCAGCTTGTTAAGGAGCTCGTTAACTCAAATTACTCTATCAACTCAATGCAAAAAATCAGCTGAGAGACAGCTGGTATCTCAAAAAACTTGTTAGTCGGGACACTCGTAAGTCAAGGCCCCACTGTATCGTCATGTGCTGCCTCAGCAGCTTGAAATGTTTACTCATGTCTGTTCAGAAGTACACCTGAGTTTAGCTATATCCCCAAACCCCCAGCATAATTTTCTAAAAGCATTCCTTTTGGACTCCAGCTTAATTATTCTAAAATCTTTCTTAAGATCCCACTCATCATGCAAGTAGTAGCCTAAGCCCTATAAACTAACTGTGGGGCCCTCTGCCCAGGGCTACTGCATGTAAAATAAAAAACTGTATCAGCTAGCTATGCAGCACAAACATCTGAATGACAAAATCAGCCTAAAGAATTAAAACCTTCAAGTTAGACGAACAAATGAGTTATGTGAACTGTCCAACTGAAAAGTCAATCAGAAACAATGAAGATGTGAGATTTTGCTGAATTTGAACTTCTGTTTGATTAAGAGCTGGGTGAAGTGTGAGTCAAGGATACTGAAATTCTCCAAGTACCGACATTGAGTGAGTTGGGTCTGTTAAGAGAACAATTAATACTGATGAGCAAATATATAGGTATTTACACAAATCTTAGTAAAAGAGTTACTTCTTTAAAAAAAATGTTTTTATTGGTTTCAGAGGGAAGAGGGATAGAAACATCAATGATGAGAATCATTGATCAGCTGCCTCCTGCACACCCAACAATGGGGGGTCAAGCCCACAACCCAGGCATGTGCCCCAACCGGGAATCAAACTGTGACCTCCAGGTTCATAGGTTGACACTCAACCACTGAACTACACTGGCCAGGCCAGAGTTTCTTCATTTATTAAATTTATGATGCCAAACATCATAAATCAATGTCAATTAAGTGCAACAAGGAAAGACTCCAAGTAAAACTTGATTCTGATCAGTTCCCAATTTGTAGCAAAGACTGTGTACTCATGAATACATAGGCACACACAACTGTCGAAAGGTGAAATCAGTTACCCTGATTAGCTTTAGGGAATGTAATATGCTGTGGAATAGAATGGAAGGGCTCACTGCTGTTAGACACCCTGTGCTTCACTGGCATTTTAAGCAGCTATAGGGACAGGCATTTTAAACACCTGTACAGAGCAACAGTGACTCTGCAGATGGAGCAGAGGACTGAGCAAAAGCTAGAGGGCTGATGGGAGATAGGCGAGCAGAGGGGCTACCCTGCCAGGTGTGGCTCCCCTACATTGTAAATGTCATGGTCACTCCTGTACTCTTTTTCAGAGAAAAGTACCTTTGAATTGGAAACAATTCTTGTTCATTAATCCCCCATGTATTCTGAAACTAGAAGCATGTTTCAATCACAGAAATGGTTTTTAGATAAACAGCTACAGGTCCATAATTCTTTATCTGAAACACAGTGGCCTCAATTTTGTCAGGAAGCTAGAGAAAAAGGAGTCAGCCAAGATGTGGAGAAAAGGGAATTCAGAGAGTGAAGTTCTGAAGGAAATTTCTTCTTTGTTTTGTTCACAATATTTTTGGTTCTTTGCTTTTTTTTTTTTTTTTTGGTGTTTTTTCCTTCTTGAATTCAAATAGTAACATGTATCTATGGTGAAAAAAATCTGACAATTTTAAGGAAGAAAATAAAAATCAATCTTAAGCCCAACATAATACTAAAGAGTAAGTATCATCAATATTTTGCATATGAAAACATTTTTAAAAGCAAATTTGGGGTTTCATTGCATCATATGTGATAATTTGAATGTTTTCTAATGTAACATGCATTTTTCAAAAAAGAATAGTTTATTGACTTTTGAGAGGAAGGGAGAGAAACATCAATGTGAGAATGCAACATCAATTTGCTGCCTCATGAACACCCCCAAGTGGGCAACGGGCATGTGCCCTGACCAGGAATTGAACTGGCAACCCTTTGTGCACAGGATGACCCCTCACCAACTGAGCCACACAAGCCAGGGCTGCAACATGCATTTTGACATCTTTAAGTATTCTATTAAAACATGGTATTCACAGCATTTCATTGAATGGATTTAACTGATCTCTTAATAGAGAATATGTCTCTATTATGAGATATTCATTACAACACTATTTAAAAGTCCTCTACTGTCTCTGTGACCATTTTTTTAGGATAAATTTTTAAAAACAGATTTACTAGGTATGGAGAATAACCATCTAAAATATACTGACAAATGGCCCTCCTGTAGCGCAGGAGGAACCACATAAACAGTCACCCATATAAATGCTTAGTAATAGTCAAGAGCTCAAGGTCTGAAAAGCTGCTCTGGGACTGGCATTTAGGAGGCCACTGGCAACCTCCCAGGAAAGGTCCATTAAGGGAAGGTTGATCTTGAGTATTTGTTCGGAGCTTTATAGTTCTTGATTTGAAGCTTTTTTTGTTTTATGTACAGCAACATCTTTCCACCGCCTCTTCCAGGTAGAAGCTTCCCAATTCTGTCCCTCCTTCTGATGTTGCTGGTCCATTTCTAACTATATTTCCCAGTGGATATCTTTCTGTTACCTCAACACATCTAAAGCCAAACAAGACACCTTCCTCTAAGCTACCTCTCTCTCCTGACTGCCCTATTTTTTATTAATTTATTCCTAAACTAGAGGCCCGGTGCACAAAAATTTGTGCACTGGGGGGAGAGGGGATGTCCCTCAGCGGGACCTGTGCCCTCTCACAGTCTGGGACCCCTCAGGAGATAACTACCTGCTGGCTTAGGCCGGCTCCCTAGGTGGCAGATGGCAGGCCCAGATCCCACGCCGCCCTGCCCCGCTGCCCACCACACACGGCAGGCCCGGCGGGCGGTGGGACGGGTTGGGCTGATCATGATCGGCCCGGTGGGCGGCAGGGCAGGTGGAATGTGATCCGCCGCGCCCCGCCCCACCAGCCGCCGGGCCACGCACACAAACTGCAGGCCCCACCAGCCGCCGGGTCACACATGTGGATGGCAGGCCTGGCGGGTGGCGGGGCAGGCGGCGGCTGACAGCGGGGTGGGTGGATCGCACTGTCCCACCCTGCCTACAGTATGCAAATTCGCGGCCATCTTTGTTGGCGGTTAATTTGCATTTCGTGCTGATTAGCCAATGGGAGGCGTAACAAAGGTACGGTCAATTACTATGTTTGTCTATTATTAGATAGGATGGTTTCTTACTCAGTGCTTAAGTGTCTCACTCCTCCACTCCAAGCAACATATCCAAAGAATTCCTTCGACACACAGGATGTGTCTGCAAAAGGAGTTATAGTACATCCTGACACATTTGATGTTGTCTCTGAGCATCTGTATAGGTTGGTTCAAGACCCTCATCAGCTCCAGCTTAGACAATTGCAATTCCCCCTCATTTATGGTCCTTTCTCCCGCCCTACCCAGTTTCATCATTCCCTTCTCCTCAAAACTCTTCACATTCCTTATTGCCATACAGCAGCAATTTTCAACCGGTGTGTCACAGGAATTTTTAAAACATACAATACCTGGCTAGTCAGGGACACTGAGTTCTTTTCCCTGATAGAATATATCGAAATTGTACCTTTTTTTTTGGTCAAATCAGAAAAAAATATATTTTTTGGTGTGCTGCAGAATTTTAGTAATTACTTTGTGTGCCATGAGATGAAAAAGGTTAAAAATCACTGCCTTCAGGAAAAAAATCTAAATTCCAAGGCCTTCAAATACAACTGTAACCTTCTCCCAACTTTATCTTCTGCTTCCTCACACAAACCTCCTGACCCAGGTTAGACTTGTAGACTCCTTACCCAAAACACATTTGGTGCCTTGATTCTTGCTACTGCTTTGTTCCCCTCCTCCCCCCAAAAGGTGCTTTTTCCTGTCAGCTTCTCCTTACCCTTACAAATGCTTACTTATTCCATGAAGTGCATCTAGGATCATAGCCTAGGATTACTAATTTAATTTTCAGGTACAGATGCCCTTTCTATACAAGCTTTGTGAAGGCAAGATGCCCCTTTATCAGCCTTAATATAACTGAATGCATATAGTAAGTGTTTGATGTATATATTTCTCATATAACCAGTTTTATTTGGAAAAACTTCATACAATATATACATATCTTTGAACTAGAAAGAGCCAAGTAGTTATTGTTGTATTCTCAGCACCTGCAACAGAGCCAGCTCATGGTAATCACATGAGTGTATATAATCTAGGAATGACAGCATGCATGAACTTGAACATGGTGGAAGGGGAACAGGCTGAGCTAACCAGTCACAGAATTGTGAGCTTCCACAATCTTCATGGGCAAGTTCATTCTTACGGTTATTTTAACAAAAACTACCAAATTTCACTGGGATCACTAAATTTATTTGGGTGTAATTAGCTATTATTCAAGGTCATAAATTAAATTATGGTATCATCACTAAAATGCATATATATATATTCATTTCTTACAATGTTATTTCAAAGCAGAGCTCTCACTGTGAATGTTCTTCAAAAGTTGCAGCGCAGAAAAGGCACCTTGCAGCCTAGCCAAAAACAGGCTACTTCATGAAGTAAGTTTGTAAATTCAGAGCTTCCTACCTTTGGAGCCAACATTCTCATCTGTACTGGTTTCACAGAAGCAACAGGTTTCGGCTGTTTGTTGACATTTGTTGTTTTGGTGGGTTGAACAGGTGCTTTGGTGTTTGAAGCTTTCTACAAGGAAAAGATATGTGAATAGGGCAGGACAGACAATGTTGCTCCAGTGGGTGCCCATACAATCCTCAAGGTTGTTACCTTAGCTACTTGTGTGGCTCTGGTTGTAACTCTATTTCCAATTTCTTCTAAAACTGCTCTCCGGAGTGTCACATGACTCTTCGCTTTAGAATTAACTTCTGTGTCAATGTTCTCCAAATCAGTGGACACCTAAAAAAAATTAAAAAGAGTTGAGACAACTGAAAGCACTTGGCTAATGTCAGATAACCAAATTCAGAATTGCTTTAGGAAAGGTTAATATGCTGAGATCTACTGGCAAGAGAAAAAAGTACATTTCAGGAAATCTAAAAATACTATTTGTGTTTGATAACATCACTCTACATTAGGCAGATCACTCATCTACCTTATCTATATATATAAAGACGTAATACGCTAATTGGTCCTAACAGTGTCCCAGTCACAACCATTCAACAGGCTGCGCGTGCACAGGAGCTGGTGGGCGGGGACGGGGCAGGGACTTGCACCACCAGGACATGAGGCTGCTGCCAGGGGCACACCCCCGGGCAGAGGCACGCGCAGGTCTGCCACGCCACCCGGCCTGGATGGGGGGCATCAGGATGGGGGCGCAGCCTCAGATGAGAGCTCTCAGCACTCCTGCATCAGGGCCTGAAGGCACAGAGAGGAAGCGAGAACAGATGGGCAGTTAGGGGGTGTAGGCCAGGAGGGGAGAGCAGATAGGCAGTTAGGGGGATCATGCCAGGAGGGGAGTGCAGATAGGCAGTTAGGGGGATCACACAAGGAGGGGAGAGCAGTTAGGGCCATCAAGCCAGCAGGGGAGCAGTTAGGGGCATCAGGCAGGCAGGCAGGTGAGCGCTTAGAACTTAGAAGCTAGTGGTTCTGGATTGCGAGAGGGATCCCGGATTGGAGAGGTTGCAGACCAGGCTGGGGGACCCCCCATACCCCCCACATGAATTTCATGCACCGGGCCTCTAGTCTATAATAATCCCATTAGGAGCTTAACAGATCAGTGACTATTTCTCATATAGCACCCATGTCACTTGTTAGAGAACCTTATCTATGAAAGGTTACTTGCAGTATTTAAAAACCTTCCTTTACACAGATAAGTAACAAGTGTGATTAAGACACAATATTAAAAAGTTATAACAAGCCCCAGTTGGGTGGCTTGGTTGGAGCATTATCCTATACATCAAAAGGCTGTGAGTTCAATCCCCAGTTAGAGTTACACACAGGAGTCAACCAATCAATGTTTCTCTCTCATATCAATGTTTTTCTCTCTCTTTCTCTATCTCTCGCTCTCTCTTCCTCCAGTGAGGATTTTTTTAAAACTTATAATAGGCTGTTTAAAACCTAAACTAGCTTTGATTTGAATACCACTCTAGAAATAAGAAGTGCTTGTGTAGACATGATCTTGTAGAGACACAGCCTTTTAAAATGAGGTTATCGTAGAATGGACTCTCTCTTATGTTAAGGTTACTTCGAAAGTTGGAATTGCATGAAATAACAATTGTTAGTTGACCTTAACCTGTTTTAGACAAAATGTGCTTAGAAGAAACAAAACTTGCTGGGAAAAGCAATTCATAACCAAAAAACTTAATTTTATTATAGAGGTGAAAAGTATGTCACAAGAAAAAAACAACACGTCCTAGTCCCCAGAAATTGGGAGTCCTAATCTTAAAGAATCTCCCAACAGGGGGTTTGAATGGACCTACCAGGACAGAGAGGGTAAGGGAAAACTCAAGAATCCTATCTAATAAAAGAGAAACATGGTAATTGGCGTACGACCGCTACCCTTCCCATTGGCTAATCAGGGCGATATGCAAATTAACTGCCAGCCAAGATGGCAGCCGGCAGCCAGGCAGCTTGAAACTAACATGAGGCTTGCTTGCTTCAGTGACGGAGAAAACCAACATTCCCTGCCTGCTGCTGCAAGCCTCTGAGA